TCTTTAAATATAAAAAAACGTACTTACAGGCTGTGAATCAGAAGCGCCAGACTGTTCTTGCAAAGTTGGAACTGCCCAACTTTATAGAAATAGCCATTGTGCACAGCATTGTAGGCTACTCTGCAGGATCAGGAAACAGTCCTCCATTAAATGCGTTGCACACATCTGAATATTTGGGTTGAAGTGTTCTGGAACAGTGTTGTAAATACAACTTAACCACTGATTTCTAGTCGTGTCCTCTTTTGGAAGACCAAACGAAGTAGTTTCACTTTCATAAAGAAACACACAGCGCCTTCACGACATGGCGGCATCGGCAACAACAATACTACAGCACGAATAAAAGTTACGGCTTCTTTCTTTGCGTGAACATTTGGGCGGCGTTATGCAAATCTTCCCACATAGTGACGTAGACATGTGGGGGCGTGTTAGAACGAGCCATTTTAGGTAGGCGTGGTTGACTCTTAAATTTTTATAAAGAATATCTCTTTGGATTTGAGACTTTAGTCTTTGCAACTTTACAGATCTTCTTTATGCACCAAGAGCTTGTAACACTCCAAAGAGAAAGGAAAAATTGAAATCGCATCATATGACCCCTTTAATATAAATATGTTAATATTAACTTTTCTAAATATTATCATTTCTATAATTATCTATGGTAACACTTTACAATGAGGTTTTCTTTGGAAACATCAGTTAACTATATAAGTTAACATGAACAATACTTATATAGCATGTATTAATCTTAGTTAATGTTAAGTTACTGTAAATCAGCAACTTCTAACGCTTTGCTGTGAGTGTACTTCATGAGCCTCGTCAGGTGACACTCTTCTCTAACATTAGCCGTCTTATGGGGGACTGTATTGATTTACTCACTCTCACACACACACACACACACACACACACACAGACAGAGAGAGAGGCTCCCACTGGTGTCTGGTATTTGTCTCTCAGTTTGCAGATAAACACATTTATATGGTCAGAACAGCATCAGGTTAACTGAGGACGACTGGAGTAATCGACGATGTAGAGATAAGAAATCAAAATAAAATAACTTTCTAAAAAATAAAAATATATAATCTTGCTTTGCACAACTATATATCATACATCAAATGTGTGCATATTTAAAATATGAAAGTATACTGTAATATATACATATACTTATATTTTAACATCTACTTAATATGATTAAGTATTCTGTAATAAAAATTATCCAGAAGTAATAATAATAATAGTGTTTATTACAAAATACTTAATAGTAATAATAACGTAGAATAATTATTTACATTAAATAATAATAATAACTATTATTATTAAAATAGTATATCTAAAATGCTTAATTATTATTATTATTATTATTATTAAGTAATTTGTAATAAATAATCTAGAAATACTTCTACTATAATTGCAGATTATTTATGGATTACAAAATGCTTTATAATAATAATAATAATAATAATAGCATT